AAGCAGTATGTCATCCAGCAGTTACTCAACCCTAGAATATTTGTCTCTCCACTAAACTCACAAGAGCAAAACGTTGCACTTCCACAATTGCCCCACCTGCTCCGAGGTCTCCGAGGAACCTGGCCCAGATTGCACTATTTTCCAAAGCCCTTTAGAGGGAACACCAGCCAGAGCCCTGTGATCACCCACTTTCAGATCAACCCGAAGTTGCTTTTCAGATGCACATATACATGACCTCAAGCCTTGGGTCAGTCAGTCCTGGGTTTCTAAGCATCCAGGAATCCATATTTCCCTTCCTCCTCCAGGATTGAGGGGATTCCTCCCTCCAGGTCCTGGAGAGGTGCTGAGGGGTCCATGGGAGAAGAATGGACCTTTGAAGCTACCTGAACTGGGCTCAGTCAACTGGACAGGCATAGACGCCATCCAGCCTCAGTGGTCCCGATCCCAGCCTCTTCATTTATCTCAAAGCTATGTGGGCTCAAAGAGGGACCCATGGACGCCTGTGGATGGCTCAATGCAGCCATTTGCCACTTGGTCCCGAGGGCCACACCGCCTTTGGGGGGATTGGTAGATGCCGGGAGGGTTCTCTTCCTTTCGGGGTTCCAGACTGGCCCTCAGTATCCTTGGAGCTAAAGCCGGGAGCTGGTCTGGAAAAGCACCGGAGGGCCTAGAGCCAGGGCCCCCGCCCTTGGCGTGGCCGGCCACGTGCAGGCCCATTAGGGTTTTTCCATCACTCCCGCAGCTCACACCTTCACTGGTCAGGAGCCTCTCAAGAAGGAGGACAGTGATTAATGTTTTATGGAGGAGCTGCTGGGCATGACACCTTGTTTGCTTTAGGTTTAGAATACAATGAGGGCGATGAATGGAATTTGCTGAGAGGTGAGGGCCAGCACAGGGCCACCGTTGGGGGCTGAGGACCCACAGGCAGTGAGGTTCCCTGTCCTGACAGCTGAAAAGGGGGCGATTCTGGATGTGGGAAGGCAGGCGAGGCTCGTGCTGGCAGGACCTTCCTCCCAGCTCTCAAGAGCTGGTTCCCACCAGTGCCGCCAGCCCTGGGGTGCAGAGGCCACTGGTGAAGGGCACCCAGAAATGAATGCGCTGGTTCCGCCAGGCGACTCTCCCTCATTCCAACAAAATCCCATTCTCTGCATCCAGGGTTTTGCTTATTTGTTCTTTCCAGTGTGTTGGTGGGGAACGAACTGAGGGCTTAAATGACCTTCAGCCCTACGGGTCGGTGCGGCCTCACCGGGTCCTTAAACATTAAATACTTCCATCTGGTGGGAGCTCCTCACGTGTCCCCCTGCGGTAGTCTCCCTGGCCACCCTGGTTCTCTAGCCTCTGGTCACCTCTGGGCCTCTCCACAGCCCAGTACTTGAGGGGTCAACCCTGTCATCAGCAGGGGGCCCTGGGGACCCTGGCCAGCACTGTCCGGTGGGGGCGTTCTGGTGGACTGGGGCCATTGACACGCCTGGCTGTTCTGTATTTTGCATATCACCTCTGGGTGGGCACCAAAGCTTCCAATTCCTGTATACACGAGAGGCGTCCATCCGGTTAGATCCAAGTTAGAAGAAGTGTGAAAAGGTGTGAAGCTCGTTTTGTGTCTGCATCACATCACTGCCCGAAGCTGGTTTTGGAGGCAGCATCACCCAGAGTCCCAGGCACAGGCCCTTTAATTTCAACAGGCCCCTGGCGCGTGCCCCGTGCCAGCACACACCTGCGACTCTGAAATAAGTACACGTGACTCTCTGATCTGACACCTGTGCTTCCACCCAGGTCTGGGCCTCAGCAGCGGAGACAGGGACACGCAGAGGACCCTGGTCCTCCGCACACCTGTTCCTCTGTCTCCTGTCTGCTCTCCTCTCTGCTTCTCTGCAGACTCGGGGAGGCGTCTGCTCCACGCCCAAGATTCCTGGGCCCCAAGGTGAGAATGGCAGTTAAACTGTGTGAAGTTCCAGGTGTCGCTGATGCCTCTGGATCGTGACTGTGGCTCCTTCCATCTGAGACGAACTCCAAGAATTTCCACGGCTGGCGGTAACTCCCTGGGCTGGGAGTAGCAGTGGCATCTGCTATGCCTCCACGGGGCCCACACCTTCAGTTCCAGAAAATTCTGGGGGTTCCCGGTTCCCTGCCCATTTCTCTCTTTCTCCCTAAGCGTAAAGCCATCCCAGGCCGCCCTCAGGTAGTTTTTCTTGAGTGAAAATCCTAGAGAGTTGGATCTGAAATGGAGCTTAGCAGCCTGGGGCTTTTAGCAACAGGTGTGATTCATGTGCCTGGCTACGGCCCGAGTGCATGGGCTCAGGTGAGGCACCTGGGCTTAGGTGAGTCACCTGCCCTCTGTGGTCCTCACAGAGCAAGAGCCCAGCTCCGGTGATGAGGTAAGTTGGAAAACCACGTCACTCTCTGGGAGACTAACCATAGTAAACGCCCTGACAAGTCCTGCAATAAAACCTCTCACTCTATAAGCCAGGGCTCACCACACTTCTTTGTCCACAGAACTCTTTCAGAAGTGACTCGTACTGCTGTGTCAGTACTGCTTTCTACAGAACATGGCCTGTAAACGGTGGCCTGGGCATGGTCTCAGGGGGCCCCTGAGCTCTCAGATTCCTGGTTTAAAACCCTGGTGGCTTGCTTTCTCTCCTGAGGGCAGTTGGAGGAAGAAGGCCTGAGAGAAGTTCTGAGTTCAGAGTGAGGGTGCTGGGGGCGTGGGGGCAAGGGAGGCAGCTAGTGTGTGCACATGTGTGCATGAGAGAGATGGAGGGAGGGAGTGGGGGAGCGTGGCGGGGAGAGATAGAAATAGCCAGTTTTTAAGAGAAACCAAGAGATTACAAAGGTTGGGAGATACAAACAGAGAGAGGGAGCGGGAGGGGTGGGGTGAGGAGGCCCTTCCTCCGCACAGTGACTTCCTCTGGGCCCATCACTGATTAACCCCCCTCCTGCTCTGTCCTGACACCCCGGGAGCTTGTCCGGGAGCCAGCGGCAGGTGCCTGGTACGTCCGGAGAAGGCCCCCAGAGAGGAGCCTCGGTGAATCATTGACTGGCTTCCATTGTGTGGGAAGCAGCTGGGGCTGGCGTCCCCGCCAAGCTCCTGGGCTGTGGGCAAAGGTGGCGCAGGCCAGGGCTGAGCCGAGCCCAGCAGGTGCTCCTCTGCAGCCTCCAGAGCCAGGGCCACCGAGGTGGCCAGGACGGCCCTGCACACTGGGCTCTCTCGCCACCGGAGCCGTGGGAGTGGAATGAGCACTGAGCTGGGCGTTCTCGGCCGGTCTCTGCCACCGACTGACTGTGGCACCGGGACGGGCCCCTTGTGCTCTCTGCACCTCATCTCCGGTGGCCTTTTACTGGGGCCATTCCTTGTCGCCCTGGGGCAGCCCTAAGCCATCCCTGCAAAGGCCTCGACAGCCCCCAGAACTGCCCTGGGCACAGAAAGTGTCCAAGGCATGATGGCCAGGCTCCTGCTCCGACCACAGGCCGCTCAGCTGCCCGCCCTGAAACCTCACCTGTTACAGGGGGAGAGAAACATTCGCTGAACAAGAGAAGAGAGCAAGGGAGTGTCCAGGGGGCCCAGGTCTGGCAGGCTGGACCCCATGGATGGCCAGGGCCACTGTTTCCCCACATCCTATTGGGAGGGAACACGGGGTGGGCAGGGAGATGGGGCAGGAGGTGCTGCTGCGGAGGAGGCAGCTGGGTGCTCTGAGCAGACTCTTGGGCTCTGGGCTCCCGGCTGGGGTCAGAGGGAGACTGAGCCCCCGAATGGCCAGTGAAGGGGCAACTTGCCACTTGCAATGCTCATGCCATGTGTGGCCTGGGCAGGACTCCTTCTGTCCTGCTCTGCTTGATTCTCGTACATGAGCTGAGAGTCAGGGATTCCCTCCTCCAACCACTGGGGAAATTTATTGAGCTCCTACTGGGTGTCAAACACTGTTCTGGGTGCTGGGTTTTGAAAAAAACACACCAAAAAACAGACAAGGCTGACATTTCATAGCTGGAGAAACTATGAATCTGAGAGGTTGGGCAATCGATGCAAAGTTCCACAGCGAGGAAGGGTGGAGCAGGGTTCAGAGCCGCGGTCCAGCCCCCCACTCCCCCTTGCTCCTGCCGGTTGGTAGAGAGGCAGTGGGTACATTAGACCAGCTGCCTCGCTGGGACAGAGGGTACGTCCTCTCCCGGGTCTGCCATCTCCTCTCTAAATTCCCTCCATTGACTTTGAGGGGTCGGCCAAGCAGTGGGGAATGGCTCCTGGGGGCAACAATAAAAATTCAGATTTTAAATGGGGACAGCTACCGATTTTTGATCAAGTTCTATGCACCGGGCCCTGCAGCATCCAGGGGGAGCCCCAGGAGTTCCTGAGCAGGGGACCGGGGAGCAGAGCACTCCTGAACTCCACTTGCCCTGAGCCCCTCCCGGCTTCCAGGACCTCTGCCCTCAGGTTATCAGGGGAAGCAGCTGAGGCTTTGCACAAACAGTAGGGGCAGGCAGGGACACGGGACAGATGGTTTATAAATAAGGGGGCCGGGAGGGGCTGCGCTGGTGTGGGTGGGGAGGGTGAGCTGCAGGAGAGGCCAGGAGGAGACCTCTGCAGCGGGGTGTGGCCTCC